TATTTAAAAAATAGATTTGATTCCAAAAGAATGAACATAGCAGTAGGTAATTTTGTATAAATTTTATGAAATGCCTTTTTACTTCAACCAATGAAGAAAATCCACACAAAGAAATAAAACATGTATGAAAAACTAAAATTAAAAGTGAAAAACAAGAGCCAACTTAAAACTCTTATGGGCTTTTGTTTCTGTTTTGCCCTCTTATAGTTAAGTAATGCTTTTATACTTATTTTGTAAAGTATACTTTCATAGCAAACTGTGACAGAGATCATTTTAGATAAAAATACTCCACAATTAACTTAGCCAGCACTTATTATACTTTATAAATATAATCCTAAAATTTGAGTCAGAGACTGGTTCTTGTCTGAAAGTAGACATAAGAGGCCTCTACTTAAAGCAACTACATTCTTCACAAATATTTTAAGATTTGTTTAAAAACACAAGTTACTGGAATACAGAAAAGTTTAAACTAAACAAAGCTAGAAACACACACACTCAGAGCCTACTTTGGACTTGTACTGTATAGGCTGGAACTGAAACATAGTGCTGTCAGATACTAAATAAGAATAGTATATATTCCTTCCTTCAACATTCTCTACACTAAATACATGTTCTCAGAAAGAAAGAAAAATTTTGGTTAAAAGCTGGGGTCCACCCACATTCATTTTGTTTAAAATCTCCCTATGTCCATGATGCTTTCTAAAGAGTATAATACATTGTATTAATTTTATATAAATAATACTTAGTATACTGCATTACATTACATTATATTTACTATATGCTTAGTGGGAAAGTGGGAAGGGGAGAATTTTATGAAAGTTAGAAAAAATAATTTCCTGTACACTAAGATGTGTTCAAATTTCAAAGTGTATAAAAACTCCTGTTTTGTTGAAGAGAGTTTTTTGTTGTTTTTATATATTTATTTATTTTGAAACAGGGTCTCACTACATAGCCCAGGCTGCCCCTGAACTCACCTCTCTGCCTCTGAGTGCTGGGATTACAGATATTCACCACTATACCCAGCAAAGCTTATTTTATTTTATAAATGTTTTCTGTTTGCTTGTTTGCTTGCTTGCACTTGGCCTCAAACTCACAATACTTCTGCCTCCACCTTAGCAATAGGAGGGATTAGAGGTGTGCACTACCACATCTGGCTAAGAGTTTACTTTAATATACAGATTTTCAAACTGTAGTGTAGTTCAGTGATAGCACACTTGCTTAACATACACAAGGCACTGGGCACGATCCCCAGCACTGAAAAATAAACAACAACAAAAAAAACCAATTTTCTAGGACTCTCCCCACAAGAATAAGATTCTGAAGTGGGGCCAAGAAAACTGTAATAAGATGCAGGTCCCACATTACTCTGAAGAGACAAATGGGCTCCAGCCCACACTGGGAGTGACTGTGGAGTGGGTGCTGTAACAGCCAGCCACTGCAGCCATTTCCTGGATTTCCACTAAGACTGAGGCACTGAGTCACACATAGAGCAGCAACTGAACCAAACAGCTCCAAACAAAGATGGAGTAATTCTTCCTTCTATAAATACTTAATGTACAACTTCCAAGAACTCAGCACTATGTACAGCATTATGGAAAATAAGAAGTATAAAATCCTTCAACTCTCCTGATCTCAGCTCCTGACAAGTGACAATTTAGCAGGCGATAAGACACAAGAGAAGAACCCGCCTTTAACTAAGAGTAGGACATGAAGATATTACAGGACCACATGTGAATTACCCCTTGCTAGTCTTCGTGCAGGACACACATCCATGCAAGCCAAATTCATCATGTTCATCCCTCAGTGACAGTGTCTCTGTGTCTTTTTCTATTCCATTCTCTCCCAGTGATTCCCACTACCATTCTCTCCATGCCCAAATCTTGTTTACTCTAAAGACACTGTCATCCGTTCTATAGACTTCTCCCATATCCTCAGGTAGACACTGTCTCTCCTCTCACTGGATATCTCTTCGGTGGGATTTATAGCTTCCAGCCTTGTATTTTGGTTCTTTTATACATATATTATCTCCCATATTAGAAAATTATTTCTTTCATGTTAAGATCTGCTCTGGATTCATCTTTCAATTTTTCATAGTTACTAGAAAGTATTCAAATAGAAGATGATAGGAAGAACAAAAGGGTGGAGCAGTAAGCAATAAAAGAGGAAAGGCAAAGGCAAGAAAAGGAAGAAAGGTAAGAGGAACAAGGATGGTAAGAAGAGAAAGAGGAGACAAACCAGATACAGGTTCACTAGGAGGGAACAGACAAAAGAAAATAGGTTGGGGGAGCAGAAGACCGGAAGTATAGACCGAGTGGAGATATTGGAGAGAACCAACAGAGAACAAGGGGAAACAGGAGACACAGGTTAAAAAAAACAGACAGACAGAGGGACCGAAGTAACCAGGCAATGACAAGTACTCAGAGTACACACTACCCAGGATGTGAGGAGGAAGGAAATGATTCATTAGTTGAGGGAGAGAGGTGGGTTAACTGACAGAAAGGAGACTGAAAGAGAATGATTTTCTAAGGCAGGAGCCCTCAAAGTTTTTGGTATTTGCATCTTTTACATTCTTAAAAAGCACTGAGGTCCCCAAAGAACCCACTGTTCATGTAGTTGTATCTATTACTACTTATCATATTAGAAGTTAAAAAGGAAATTTTATAAATACTAAGTCATTATAAACAGCAATTCACCTAGTGTATATTAATATAAAAACATGTTTGAAAATTACCAAAGAAGATAATGGGAAGAATGCTGTGAGTTCACATTTTTGCAAATTCTTTTAAACCCTGACTCTATAAAAGAAAACTTAACTCTCTTATCAACTTTGTGTCCAATCTGTTACATTATGTTTTGTTTAAAGTCTACAAAGAAAATCCACCTTCATATAGACAAGTACTTAAGGAAGAAGGATCTCACAATCCCCTGAAAAGACCTCATGGACTCCCCCCAAAATTTTCAGGCTACATTTTAACAACTATTGCTCTAAAGATTATATTCCTATAGCCAACCTAAGGAAAACTGACACACAATCAAAATCTGCTTCATACTTGGTGCTGCCCTGACCCAAAATTCCCCTCCCCCCAGATAGCTCTGCAAGGCAATCCAAAACAATATGAGGCTCAAATGCAACCCTATTTTTCTCATAATCTCTTTGTAAAGGGTGCATTCTATTAACAGAAAATCAGCCAGGAGTACAGCAGTTCACTACAATGGAAAACAGACTCACTGGCTACCAGCAAAAACTAAAGTAAGTTCCACAACAGGCAGAAAACAGTTCCTGTCAAGGGTCTAACACTAATTATTTTAGGCTTTGGGGGCCATGGAGTTTCTATAGCAAATATTCGACTTTATCCTTGTAGTGAAAAATAGCCACATACAATATATAAATGAATGGGAGTGGCTCTGTTCCAATCAAATTTTATTTACAAAACCAGTCTGGACAGATTTGGTCCTTAGGCAATAGTTAGCTGAACTCTGCTTTGAGCTAACCAGATCTCAGAAATGTAGTGCTCAGTTCAAGGTCATTTTGTAAAATCAGATACTTTTCATATCTACCACTGGATTTTACTCAAACATAAATTTGTAGGGTGGTTCTTCCAATCTATGATAGCTTTATAAACCTTATAGTAGTGCACCTGCTTCTGCTGAGGAAAGCAGCAGCAGTTACCCTGAAATAACTAAAGGTTATTCAAAGTCAAAAAAATATATAATCATGAAATAGTAATATATTCTTACAGAATGACAAACTATTCCAGAATAAAAACTTTGAAAGTCAATAAGCCAGAGTATACCATTTCTGCTCATTTCTTCTAGTCAATTTATAATTATATATTCCCTCTGTATAAGGAAAAACCTCCTTGCAAAAAGACTGGTCCATAAATGAAACCAATACATTTTTACTATATTAAATATTTGAAAATATAAAATTTTCTCTAAAGGTACAAATGCAAAGATTCAAAAATAACAAATAGGTAAGTTGCAAACTGACAGAAGATATTCATGAACAATATATCTAGCCAAGCTTTAAGACCAAGGATAAAGCATTTCTACAAAACAAAAAGAAATTGTGGATTAAGATTATAATGAGGGACTCCTATAATCCCAGCCAGCACTTGGAAGGCTGAGGCAGGAGGATTTTAAGTTCCAGGTCAGCCTGAGCTACATGATGAGACCATATTAAAAAAAAAAAAAGCTAAAAATGACAACATCAAATTAAGATCAGTGGGGATGGGGAAGACAAAGCATTTGGGGAAGGGAAATCAGCTTCATAAATAACGGTAGGCACACTGTTCTTTACACCTTTTGATATGTCTACATTATTTCACTTAAAAAGCCACACAGACAACTTAGACTGGCTTAAGTTTAAAAAAAAGAGAGAGAGAGAGAGAGAGAAAACTAGCAGATTTTTCTGAAACCAACTTTTTAACTGACTATAACAGAACTAAAGTGCAGACCATCAGCCAGAGCTTTTCTTACTCCACCTTCACCATGACATACTGACACAAGTGCCCATCTTTGAACACAGTGCGCCACCTTGTGTTCAAAACTCCTAAAAACTATTAAACAGACCTGTGTCTGTGAGGATGGCTTACTTGAAAATATAAACTCTTTATGGTATGATATGAGATTTGACAACATTAACTCAAACACACACAAAGCTGACATTTGAAAAATTACTTTGATTCTGAGTAAGTTGGCAAACTTCTTTTTTGATGCCTCTTGGTAGTTATTTTACTGCACTTTCAGAGAATAATTTGACATTTTCCTTGAATTTCAGTATATGAATTTTTAAAGTAAATTTCAGAATTATAGATAATTAAAACACTAAAATACACTTTCATAAACTTACTGAAAGGTCTACTCCCTGTTCCTGCATAGGGAGAGGAAATATTTCTCTCTCTCTTTCCATTTCCCCCCGTTTCTTATCTTGTTATGCTGTATTCCTTTCCTAATAAACTTTACTATTAATATAAAAATAAAAAAAGAAAGAAACTTACCTTTGAATGTGTGATTGACAAAGTGTCTACCCACACTCGCCAGCCACCCCACTCATATTTGACTGCATGGTAAAGTAGTATTCTGAATACAGCAAATACCATTTCTGTTATCTTTTGCTCATCTGAATTCTTAGGATTAAAATAGCAGAGGGAAAGCATCCACTCTTGCCACACAGAACACTGTAGCAAGCTCCTGAAAATTATAAAAGGGTACTCAATTACTAAAAAAAATAAAATCACTATAACAATTCCAAACAGTAAAGATCTAACGAGAGCTGGATGTGGTGGTGCACATCTCAATCTCAGCGCTCAGGAGGCTGGGGAAGAAGGCTCTCTCGAGTTCAAGGGCAGCCTGAGCTACACAGTGAGACCCTGTCTCAAAAAGATCAAAACAAAAACAAAAAAAAGTGATGGTCTAAAACAATTAACCCCAAAACCGTATTTAATCTGTATATTTAAAACATTCCAGCAGTGTGCACTGAAAGCTCTACCTTAACTCTCCAGTACACTACGTGCACACTCTTAACGGTAGCATCATTTCACATCCTATTTTCAGCAACTTCTCTAAGAAAACTGGGCTCATATAAAAGAATCTGTGAATACTGCAAAAAGATGCTTTGTGATCCAGCTTACCTCCTGTTTTCTCTACTGTTATTAAAAAGTTTAATCATGTCAGAAAGAAAGGCTCGGCGAACCTCCATGCTCTCTGGGCACTGGGGAGAATTTCTAAGTAGGGTCGCAATTACTTTTAATATCTCTGTAAGACAGTTCATAAATAAGAAAAAAACACAACACAATGAAAGCAATCATGTTGTGAGGTCATCAATACATCACAATTTCTTTAGTTTCTTTATATAAAATGTCTACTGAAAACCTGATGTTTTAAAAACTCTACAGAAAAGAATGACAACACATTCATAAGAAACCATTTATAAAAAAGAAAAGGACTTTATTTCATGATTTGAATCTGTAAGGCAGAGTTAGGAGTTTTTATTTTTGGGGAGGTGGGTTGTCTGTTTTTTGTCTTTATGTTTCTTTTTTCCCAATGTTGGAGATTAAACTCAGGACCTTTGGCATTCAACACAAGCGGTCTACCACTGAGCAACACCCCTGGTTCCAGAGTTGAATTTCAGAAGGTTAAAATAAAACAACTCTAAATTGCAAATAAATTAAATGAAGGCAAAAGTACTCTCTCTTTGGTCTCTTTCAAATAGTAAAGCTGGTCTTAAAAACCAAACAGAAACACTATAATAAAAATCTCAAGAAAAAAAGAATCAATTCTCAGATTCTGGGACATAATTTATAATATGTACACCCAGCCTTTCCTTTATCCAAGTGAATTTTTTCTAAAGCTATGAAGATTTTCTTGTATAATTTTAAAAGTAAAATTAAGAGACAAAAAAAATCCAAAGGAAATTAAATCTATTCAATATCCCATCTCCCCAACAAATGCAAACAAATCTGCTACTATAATGGTCTTAATATAGAGGTGGCTAAATTTCCAGAACTTAGCTTAAAGAAAAAAAAAGTTCCTCAAAATATGTATATATATAATCCCTAAATTTACAGATTAAAAGATAGCTATAACTCTGAATTTAAAATTAAATAACACATAAAATTTTTATCAACTAAAATTTTAGCAATTCTAAGACAACCTTTGCCAAGGACTCTGGTGACTCTGAAATAGAAAACTCAAAACAGCAAACTGAAGATTCTCTGTCACACAATTAATGATACTTTTGAGAGAAGCTTATAACTTCTAATGATAATTTCAAAGGTTTTTACCTAGACAATGATTACAAGGCTGATGACAACTACTACATGGGTAACTGTCACGATTTTGAGAATAAACTACCATAATGCACTGTTGTAAGAAAATACAGTTAACTCACCTAGCCCTTACCCAGTGATCAGTAGGCACTGTTTATTATCATCCTCATTTTAGAGTCAAGCAAATTCACGCCACAAAAAAAAAAAAAAAAGCTGACTACAACTAAAGAATTCAACATAGGGGGCCTGTATTTAGATCCACCATACACACTAATTGCCTTTTCTGAGTGGTACATTAAGTATCAAGTAGATTGACTGCTATGGTTTGAATGTGTCCTCTCGAAAATGCAGGTGCTTCCCATATGAGAGTGATAGAAGGAGGGGTCTTTAAGAGATAATTAGGTCATGAAGACTTTAAGGTCTTTATAACAGGGGCTTCTGCAGCCTTTGGCTAACTTGGTCTTCAACCCTCTTTGGAAACAAAATAGCCCTACCAGACCACAGGGAGGCACCTTCAGCTTGGCCCTCTAAGTCTCCAACACTCTGAAAAATTTTATTCCTGTTCTCAATTACTAAATCTCAAGTGTTCTGTTACAGCACCAAATGACTAGGATAATGAAGTATTCTAAAATTCTAACATTGACTTTTTCCTTCTTTTCACTCTCAAAAATAATGACATCATTATCTCTTTGAAAGCACAGGAAAAAATTAAACTTCAGAGCTATTTTTAAAATTAGCACTGAAGTAGCTACTATACACAGAGACACGCTCACTAAAAAAAAAGCAAACAAATTTCAAACTCTACAAAGTTCTTTTAATAACACAATTTTTAAAACATGATAAAAATGTACACATTTACAAGTGCTTAAGAATTCTAGAGATAAGGGTATGGCTCAAGAGGTACAGCACTTGCCTAGTAGCTGTGAAGTCCTGGGTTCGATCCCCAGGACCCCTGGGGTACCGAGTACCCCAGGCTGGGCATGGTGGCTTACATCTGTAACGCCACCTACTAGCAAGCCTACTTGGGAGGCAGAAATAGGAGGACTACAGTATGAAACCAGTCTAAGCAAAAATTTGGCAAAACTATCAAGAAAAGCAAGCTAGGCATGGTGTCTCACACCTGTATTCCCAGCTACTCAGGAGATAGAGATAGAAGGATCACAATCCAAGACCAGTCTACAAAAAATCCTAAGACACTGTCTAAAAACAAACTTAACCAAAAAGGGTGGAGACATGGTTCAAGTGCTACATCAATTGCCTGGCAAGTGCCAAGGTCCTGAGTTCAAACCTCAATACAACAAAAGTAAGTAAATAAATAAATAAATAAAAAGAACACAGGTATCTTTCTCATTCCAAATTTTGTTTTCTTATATTGACAGTAATATAAGATGAAGACTACCTCCTTGGTTTATGTTATTTGACTTGACATTGCTAAATAGTACAATTAAAACTTTTCTGAAAGTCTGCACCAACATCTTATGAGTAAACACATAACTTAAGATAATGCAATGTTACATTCAACATAATACACAAACAAAAGTAATATTGTACCATTGCCCTTAATGAAATATTCATCTAATGATCTGTTTCCACTGTATCAACTTTAGGTTTTTCACAGTGACTTTCTTTCTAAGTAGCAAAAGGTAGGTTTTTCTTTTTTTAAAATGTACAAAATACATACGAGGGTTTTGTATCTTTACTGAAGAATCGGGATCTGGATGCTGCTTATGTATCACCTGAGTACAAATCTGTTCTATAAGAATCTACAAAAGCAAAACCATAAATTACATTAGTATAACCAGTACATTACTATCACTATAAGGGAAATCCAACTATAATACTACTCAAAATTTAATATACAATCCAATTTTCAAAGCTAACAGTTACAGATAAGTATCTTCAGTATTATTATGCTATTTTCACTTAATTATAAAATTAAAGACCAAATAGTCAATATAAGAGAGACACTTAAACAAGGGTTAACTACATTGTTTAGTAATTCACACATTAATAGATTTACACAAATGAAGCCACATCTCCTTTAGATATACGATTTTAAAACTGTATGTTACAAAAATAAATGGCTTTATTTTATTTAGACACTGACAACTCAGCATTATCAGCACTTTTATAATAAGAAATTAGGGACTGGAGGTGTGGCTCAAGAGGTAAGAGCACCTTCCTAGCAACTGCAAAGCCCTGAGTTCAAGCCCCAGTGCCACCAAAAAGAAAACCAAATTCATAAGAGTAGTAAATTCTAACTACATTCCTACCTCAAAGAGAACATTGTATGTGGTCATTGTGATTTGATTTGTCTGAAGCATGAGCCTCTCAGCTAGCAAAGAAAACAATCCATGCCCAAGCATGACTTCAGCTTTTCTCCTACGATTACATAAAAAAGAAATCATTGAATGCAAATTTACTGTGCACCACTTACCACGCATGCTGAGTGAAGGAAACAGTGTTTTTCAGATGACAAATTCCAAACCAATTACTCTTACAATGTTTTTCAAACTAGAAGTTTTAAGGCTTACAAAATACTTAACTAGAGAAATACTAACTACAATATAAGCATAACTAAAGTTTAAGAAAAAAAAAAAGAGAGAGAGAGAAGATTAGCTATGCTACCACAGCAAAAACTTCTACTAAAGTCTTCAGAGCAACTATTTAAGTACTTGCTACTATCTGCCATAACTGGGCTAGGCTCTATTGGGGATGACCATCTAAAGCACAAAAAAAAACTGTAGGAGAAAATCAACATGAAGGAGAAGGAAGAAATAACATAATTTAAGAAAGTGAATACTATGTAAATATGCACCAAAATTAACATTCTAAGCATTAGTTTAAAAACTGAAGGATCACAACTTTAATTATACTCCTAGAGTAAGCAAACATCTCCTGCAAATGGTTGGAGAGCAAACATCTTACACTTTGCAGACCATATGGTCTTTGTTACATCTCAGCAATGACCTTGCAACATGAAAACAGCCACAGGTAATAATCAAGTAAATTACTGTAGTTGTGTTCTAATAACACTTTACATACAGGTGGCCAGATGGACTCCTAAAGTCTGCAGTTGACCAACACTTTTTCTACCGCCAAAATTTCATTTTTTATAAGAAATTACTCCTGGTATAAGGAACCAAGAGAAAATATGGTTATCTGCATTCAGCTAAAGAAGCAAGTAGGGCAGCCTCAGGTTTTAGTTAAACGTATAGCAGAGAACACTGTGACACACACTGGCTACTTATGAGCATTATAGGACAGACAATGCAAATGATGGTGCAAGTTACTAAAATGAAGTCTTCAGTCTTCATAGTTTCTAGAACTCAAGATATCCACTTGATTTAAGTAGTTTTCATTTTTAAAAACCATATATTACCATTCAACTTTATTTTTAAAATGCGTAGTAATGGGATTCAATCCATATAGTATTTTATAAATAAAAAATATTTAAAGTCAAAGGGAAAGCAGGAGAGGGGAGGGGAAGGGACTGCAGAACAGCAACGTTTTTCAAAAGGTTTAAATAAATAAACAACAAACACAAGTTCACTTTAGATTTCATGCATACTCACTTTGGGGCCAGATGTTTTAAAAAATAGCCCATTGCCTTGAGAGCTTGTACTCTGATACCTTCACTTTTTGATGCCAGAAGTTTATAGATAGCACTGAATAAATAAAAATTTAAAACAATTTTGAGTACAATTTTTTAAAAAGTAAAAAATTTAACATATCTGTATCTTTCATATTGTTTTAAGCTTCTTTCAAGTGACATACAACTGAGGATCTCTGACATTTAAAAACTTTCTTGGGTGGGATGTGGTAGTACGTGCATGTAATCTCCTTCATGCATGTAATACATGTATCAAGGTCTGAGGCCAGTCAGGGCAAAAGCACAAGACCCTATCTGAAAAACAAACTAAAAGCAAAAGGGACAGGAGCATAGCTCAAGTGGTAGAGTATTTGCCTAGCAAGCTCCAGGCTCTCAGTTCAATCCCCAATACCACTTAAAAAAAAAAAAACCTCAATTATTTCAGACTAATTATACTTTCTTTCAGTGAGAATAAATGAAAATGAATTAAAATTCACAATATATGGTGACTTTTCCATGCACATACATATATGCAAATCTTACTGCACTTTTAAACCTTTTTAAATCAGTATAAATAAAACACTATTTAATATAGTACATATTTAAATTTGTAAATAATCAGCACCATGAACAGGCTACTAATGTATGATTATCAAAAAAGTTGTATAAGTAGTATGACTCAATTTTAAGTTTTAATTACGAAAGTAAAAAAGACTTAAAACCGAGTGACCATTAAAAATAAATTTCACATTTAATTCTGAAAAATTATGTAGTAATTTCATTTAATTGCAAAAGAATATTGAGGGTAGTCTTATGTATATAAAAACAGACTGCACGGAAAGTGAGATTAAGCTGACTTCTTATAGGGTTCCTTTCCATATAAACATGCACAACAAAGACAAAAATCAGAGACTTCTATGAGTAAACATTACGATCCTATTGTCCTAGGTAAAAATTTCACTGTTTCATAATTGAGTCAAAAAAAAATAGAAGAATTATGAGCACAAAGAAAAGAACTTCAACTATTAGTGATAACAGAAAAATAAATTATGTAAAACAAAGTTTTATTCAATTTAGAATAAAACATCATACTGTCATCCATAAAATGATATCAGACCCTAGGTGTTTTTTACCACAAATTTTGGAATAAAAACTGTAACATCAAACTATGCAGTAACACATAATTGTTCAAAAATCACAATAACTTAATCAAGATAAACTCCAGAAACTACTGTTTAACAATGTCTGGGGGGACAGCACTGGGGTTTGAACTCAGGGCCCTACACTTACTGGTCAAGCACATCTCCAACCCTGTTTTGCTTTAGTTTCTTTTGTTTTTCTTTTTTCACATAGTTTCTTGTACTTTTTGCCCAGAGCCAGCCTAGGACCAAGATCCTCCTCTCCCAGATAGCCGGGACTGTTTATTCACAGAAATGGGATCGTGCTCACTTTTTGCCTAGCAGACCTTGAACCACAATCCTCCCAACCTTCACCACCCAAGAAGCTGGGGTTACAGGCATGCACCACCATACCTGGCCTTAAGAAATTTTAAGTATGTTTTATTAGGATCAATAATTTACATTAATCACCTACATTGATAAACCTAATGTTTATCCTGCAATAATTTTTTGACATTAAACATTTCTGTCTGAAGCAGAATCCAGTTAGGACATTTGAAAATATAAAATCTCACTAACACAGCATCCAAATATTCACAACTTAAAGACACGTGATAAGATTAACACTAAGTAAGAATAAAACTGAAGCTAGGCATGGGGTACACATCTGTAATCCCAGTACTCAGGAGGCTGAGGCTGAAGGATGCGGGAGTGTTCAAAGCCAACCTAAGCATAGTAAGATCCTGTTTACAAAAAAGAAATAAAACTGAACAAAATATTTACTGGCAATCATTTCAGAACAATGGGTATGGACCAACGAAAGACAAAAAACTTAGAAGTATTTATTCTAGCACATTAACAGTCAATACAGTCAATAGCCTTGTTGACAGAATTACTCCTATAATTACCACCCAGGGTAGCTGGTGAGATTTTACCAGATTGGGCTGGCACCAAAAAGCAGTAGTGTTGCTTTCTGAGCAGGCAAGCTTAACATAAGGTAAGAAATGAAAACCACAGTTATTAAACTAAGAGTAGCAGGCCTTTTTATGACTCAAAGGAGGAAATGAGTAGCTTCCCTAGACCAAGGCTGAAGACAGTTCAGAGAGAAGAGCTGACCAGTCGAAAATACTAAAAATGAAAGAGCCACGGAATGACTGAGACAAGTGTTCTCTCTAACTGGGGAAGTATAATAGATAGGAGAGTTCTGAGTAGCTAACTGAAAAGGGGAAGGCAAGGGAAAGCGGAGAAGTAGCTACAACTTGGAATATAATCCCTAAACACAGATAAATCAGCAGAGCCCTGTAACAGATAAATCTATCACAAACAGATCCTTCAGCCTTGTCCTTAATCATAACCTTTACATAAATCATTGATAAACCTGTAATGTATATAGAATCACAGGAAACCCTGTGAGTGTTGTGTTAAATTAAAAAAAAAAAAGTAAAATATTGACCACAGAGAAATCAAAAGCTGCAGACCATAGAAAACCCAAAATTTGCTAACTTATTAAAAACCAAAAAAAGCATAGAAGATGAAGAGTCCAGAGTTACACTAATACTTATCCAAAATTACTAGTTTTCTACTAAAGTTACTATATATGCAAAGAAATTTTAAAAAAATAAAGTATAAACCATAATCAGAAAGAGAGAATTAAAATAGCTTAAGGTTCAAATGCTAGATTTAGCAGACTTCAAAGGTTGTGTTCAACAAATTTCAAAATGCTACATTTAAAAAATTAAAAGAAAAACAGATTTAAAATGAGCTAAAATTGGGATATCATTATAAAATGTAAAAATAAGCAGAAGGAAATTCTAGAGGTAAAAAATATAAGAAGAGAAGACAAGGAATTCACTTAAGAGCTGCTCACCAGCAACTCGGGTGTGAAAGAAATCTGTGAACTTGAACAACGATCAATAGAAATTGATCTTTGTAACCAATCTGTGGAGACATGTGAGATGATGTAGTGTTCTGACTTCAATGTTACGGAAGTGCAAAAAAAAAAAAAAAGAAGAGGAAAAAGAAGGAAAGAGAGAAGGGGAAAGGGGGAGGGGGAGGAGGAGGGGGAGGAGAGGGAGGAGGGGAAGGGAAAAGAAAGGGACAGAAAAAAAAAATCTGTAGACCTTATGGACAAAAATTCCCAAAATTTGGTAATAAAAACATTTACTTACAGATATAAGAACTCAAAAAGCCACGGAAGAATACAAAATAAATCACAATTAAACCACAGTCAAACTGCTGAGAGGCAAAGGCAAAAAGCTTAAAAGAGAAAATGACTCAAGACATACAGGATAGCAACAGTCAATTCATGGCTATCATCACATAGGAAACAACAGAGCCCAAAAGTCGGCTGACTATAGTCAAGGGCTGATAGAAAGAGAGACTATAAGGATTTTATATCCAGCATAAGTATGCTCCAAACATGAAGGCAAATAAAAGAATTCCTGGATGAACAAAGAATAAGAAATTCATTGCTACAGACATGCCTTAGGAGAAATAGTAAAGCCCACCAAGATGAAAGGAGGTAACACTAGGAGACCAATAACAAAAAGTAAACTAAAAAAAGAAAACTTCAACATCAATAGGGGGAATCTGGTGAGACCAAATGGAGTCAGCCAAATAAAGTCTCTCTGTTTTAACTACTACAACTAAAATTATCCAAAAGCAACCACTAAAATACTGAAGACTAAACAAAGCAGTTACATTGTGTGACAAAGTTAGAACCTGGAGAACTCCCATGTGGAGGTAAAACTATGATTTTTTTTTTTCTTCTCTCTTCTGAATTTTACCCAAAAGTGGGCCCTTGACTCAGAAACTCAGACCAAAATTCTGAGAAAAACTGTGCTTCTGGTTAGAACAACATGGAAAATGAGTCTGAAAATGTGGTAGGAAGGAATCCTAAATGGGAGAAAGTAGTAAAATAACCTGTAAATCTATGGAATAACCCACAAAAGACCTGAACTCACTCAAGAGATACATGTGTGTGGGACAAACGTATACCAGAAGAACCCATGAAATAAGACTTGAATTACCACTCAATGCACTGCCTCATTCCAGAGTGGAAAAAGTGCAACAACAACCCAAAGCAGTATAAGACAGGTCTGAAAACAAAGTGGTACTGGAACCATGAAACACAGACTTGCAGTCTGACCCTACCAGGTTGACTATTTGCTTTTTAAAAAAGAAAACAGAAACAAAAGAGGAAAAACCTTTGCTAGAAGATTGCTAACAGGACTGTGTATGTAAAATATAACAAGACACATTAAAACATTACTTAATATATGAAAACAAAGAAAATGTGATCATTTTCAACCAACAGACCTCAGTGCAATGGGCAAGTTATTGGGATGATCACATCAGGTTTATAAAGGAGCTATTCCAGTTATGGTCTAGAAAGAGCAGAGTCTAAATGAAATGAAAAGCAGGGAGAAATGACCCAAACAATGTATGCACATGTGAATAAATGAATAATAAAAAATAAAAAATTTTAATTTAAAAAAATATAAAAATAAATGAAATGAAAAATATAGCTCTCATCAAAAAAAGAATAAAAAATGAAACATTATCTTGTATTTTAAATATACAATATCTGAAATAAAATAAACATAGCATGTATTCAATATCAAAATTAAAAGGCAGAAACATGTCATTCAGGGTAACAGTTAAAACTAAAACTCTTAGAAGAAAACATAGATACAAATCTTTGTGGCTGTGGATTAGGCAATGATTATTTTTAGGTATGACATGAAAAAGAGAAATAGCAAAAGAAAGCAGCTGAATATGGTGGCATATGCCTGTAAAACTAGAACTCAGGAGGATTGTGACATCGAGGCCAGCCTGGGCTACATATACTATATCTCAAAAAGAAAATTAAAAAGTAAAAACACGAAACACAGAGTGGTAGAAAAACTTTGCACATCATCTAATTGACGAAGGACTATTATGCAGAATATATAAGGAACATGAACTCACAATAAAAAAAGATAATGGCCCAATTTAAACAGAAGTAAAGGCCTCTGTGTCCTCTATGTTAGCTTCATTGTCTGGTATGTCCTTCCCATGTGATCTGAAAGATGACCCCCAGGAGCTCTAACTCCCATGGTCCTTACAAATAGAAAGGAGAGCATCCTTCTGACCCAACATCCACGTCCATCCCCTTCAAGGGCCTTGACTGATGCTCCTCAGTAGATCATGTGATCATGTCTGCACCACTAACTGGTCTAGGAAAATGAATAATACTTTAATCAGCTACAACTGATTAGGACAGGAGAGACTTTGTGGTGAAATGAAGGAAGGACAAAATAAACAGATAAATAAAAAGGCAACCAAAAAGTACATAAACTTGAAGATTAAGTTTATCATATACCAATCTAATATCTCTCAAATTTGGTAATTAAAAAAGCACCCCCTAAAAAATGTCATAATGACATTACAGAGGAAAAAGCTAAAGAGAATATCTTCAGAGCAAGTACAGAAATCTCAGCACATTATATTTAGCAAAGAAGATTTGAATGACCATAAATTTCTCATTAGAAACTATAGAGACAAGTCAACAGGAGAAAAACTTTTTAAATTGCTAAAGACAAGAACTACAAACACGGACTTTACCATCTGACAAAAGCATCCTAAGGAGATGTTTAAAAAAAAAAAGTTTCCAAAAAAATTGTTCAACAAAAACTTCTAACAGACGTCCACATTTGATCAACCAACAGCCACACTGATCAGAGGTGAGAAAAACAAGAAACAAATTCTCTGTATCAGAAATAAGAAGTGACATCACTACAGAAATCTACAGATATTTAAAAAAAAATAAGGAACAATGTTGTAGCAATAAATTAAATGGTCTAGATGAAGCAGGTAATTCCTTAAAACTACAAACTATTAAGGATCATTTAAAAAGAAATGGACAGCCCAAACTGCACTGCATCTATTGAGGAAATTGAATTTGAAGCTAGCAACATTCCCACAAAAAAATTCCACATGTGAATAACTTCACTGGCAAATGTTAGCAAATATTTAAGGAATAAATAACAATTCTGTGAAAACTAAAGAGCAGAAAATATTTCCCAAGTCATTCTATGAGGCCAGAAATTATTCTGACACAAAACCTTAACATCCTGTGGAGCGCCTCAAGCGGCACCTGGCAAGCATGAGGCCCTGAGTTCAAATTCCGGGCCCAAAACAAATCAATGACTGAATAAATGAATGACAGCCAATGTAATATACCATATTAATAACTAAAAGAATTATCTCAATAGATGAAGAAAAAGCACTTGAAAAAATCCCACATCATTTCTGACTTAAGGGGAAAAAGATCCACTAAAAGAAATTACCTCAACCTTTCAAGGGAAATATGCAAAACCCCACAGCTAGTATCATCAATAATGGTGAAAGACTGACCACTGCATACCTACAGTCAAAAACAACACAACATTGTCCACTCTAACCACTTCTATCCTATGTTGTACTGGGGGATCTGGCATTTGCAATCAGCAAAGAAAAGAAACAGAAATAATCAGAACAGGAAAAAAGAGAAGTAAAACTATCTTGATTTCCAGAGAAATTTCTACCTAGAAAATCATAAGGAATCTGGGAAAAAAAATTATTGAAATAGTAATTTAACCATGATTAGAGCAAACAAGATCAAATATAAAATCAATTATAGGGCTTCGGATGTAGCTCAGTGGTAGAAAACTTGCCTAGTATGCAGAAGCCCTGGATTTTATCCCTAGCACCACAGGAAAACAACAATCAATTGTATTTATAAGTAACAGCAATAAACAAACAAAAACTATCTATTAATAATATCATTAACAATAACATCAGGAAATATTAATACACAAGGATAAGTCTGACAAAAGATATGTAGAATATATATACTAAAAACTACTAAACACTGCTCGAAGCAATTAGAAAAAAGTTAAATGGAGAGATGTAACATTTTCAGGATTCAGAATGAATATTCTGATGAAATATTAAGATGGTATTTCTCCCTCAATTCATCTACAGATTTAATACAATCACAAACAAATCACCAGCAGGTTTTCAGAGAATCTAGGGTTAGCATGAAGATGAACAAATCAATGCAGAAATAAAGAGAACTGATTTGGTGTGGCTGAATTTGGAAATGGGGTTTCTAAATAAGTAATGAAGTGAACTCAAAACAGTGAGGCCCTGATCTAATAGGATTAGCATTCTTATAAAGAGACACTAGGGCACACACACTTTCCCTCTCCTTCTCTCTTTCCTGTATGAGGACACAGGGAGAAAGAAGATACCTACAACTCTAGGGGAGAGCCCTTGCCAGTTACTGCCCCTGCTGGTACCTTGGCTTCCAGTTCTCAAAAATGTAAGCAAATAAATTTTGATTGTGAAAGCCACCTACTCTACTCTATTTAGTTATGGCCCAAGCAAAGTACTACAACAATGCAGTGATATTAGGAGGCAGAACAGTGATATTTTAAAAAAAGAACAGAGCTTTTCTTATACTACAACTGAATACTACTATTCTAGGACCTAAAAATATCTCTGCTGAAGAGCCAGCTTCACCACAGCTCAACCATATCACTCACCACACAAAATGCTGAGATGATTTAGCAATCGTTATAAATTCAAATAGTAACAAACAGCATTACTACCTCTAAATTTAACATTCATTCAAAAAATGTAATATGAAATAAATGGGTCCTAAATATTAAATCATTTCATGTTGTAAAATCATTTCAAAAGTAATATCAAATAATATTTTTATATGAGTCTTTCCAATATCTCTGAAGTAATTATTAAATATAATTAAAATTCCTAATTAAGAAATTCTTACCGTAACCCATTCCTTTGGTCAAAAGCAGGAATCATAGAGTTAGGATGCTCTGACATTAATGCAACAAGCAGCTGTAGGACATCCATTAGATTGTCATCCTGAAATTATTTCAGAAATTCAAAAAAATAAAAATGAGGAAAAAGTAACTTCTTTGAATACAGAATACTTTTGGAACAAGAGAAATTTCAACTTGAGAAAAATAAGTAGACGTAGCTTCCATACATTCTTGTTTTGAACACAATATATTCTCTAAATAATATACATTACCAAATACGCAGAGAATTTCTTAATCAAAATAATAAAATGCCCTGTAATCCTAGCTACTTGGGAGGCAGAGATCAGGAGGATACCTGTTTAAGGTCAGCCCGGGCAAACAAGTCCCAAGACCCTATCTCAAAAATATCCAACACAAAGCAGGGCTGGGAGAGTGGCTCAAGTAGTAAAGTACCTACATAGAAAATGCAAGGTGCTGAGTTCAAACCCCAGTACTGCCTAAATAATAATAATAATTTTAAAATACATTTTATGTTACAATAAATTATTCCCTAAAACATATTCTTCAAAACAGCAGATCTAACTTAATGGGGGTTTTTCTGTTTTGTTTTTAAGGAAGGTTTACATGTCAAGAAATTGGAGAAAAGGGAACTAAGTTGTTCTTTTTTGTTACTGAAAGGTATCAGAAGCTGAGCATGGTGGTATATGCCTGTAATACCAGCTACTAAAGAGGCAAGGCAGGAGGATCACAAGTTCAAGGCCAAGTTAGCAAGAGTCTATCTCAAAAACAAAAAGGGTTAGGAGCACAGCTCAAGTGGAAGAAAACTTGAGTATAAAGACCTGTGTGCAATCCCCTGTACCTTGTAGGAGGTAGAGGGAAGACACAGATGAACAGTGCATAGCAGAGTCTTTAATATGTTAATAAAAGTGGTTGTGAGTCTTGGTGAGTGTAGTAGGGGGTAACAGGATATGAATCATTTCCGAAATTTATTTAACCTAAAATATTTTATTCACTGTGCCTACCAAGAAACTGGTTCTAAAAAAACATTTTAGAGGAAATGACTATTAAACAGTTCTTTTGTATGGTCTGTTGTTAGTATTAAGATGAATGTAGTCAATAAAAGTTACTCAATCAACACACCACTATATCTGGTACAATTTGGTAACATTTACAGAACATCAACAGCATACATGACTTCTAGACTTCAAAACATCTTCATGGGATGTGGTTCAAGCAGTACAGCTCCTGCTTTGCAAGCATGAAGTCCTGAGTTCCAAAACTCCAACCCCAACAACAACAAAAAACAATCTTCATGAAAATCCTCACAATCTTTATTGGATATCCCGTATTACTAGAGTTAATAAAAGACAAAATCACCTACACCTACCATATTTCTAGGAATTTCAGCTGAAAATCTGACACTATTAGATTCAATTAGGAAAATCCAGAAAACAAAAGAACATAGTTCTCCAGAAGAAAATAATCATAACTCTCAGTGGTTTGAGCCAAATATAATAATTAATGAATTTAAGCCATTCTTTTATGTTCCAGTTAACAAAGACAGACAGATCTTTAGTTCTCAACTATTAATGATTAAAGAACACACTATTGCATTTTAAACAAATTTATTAATTCACAAAACCTGAATTATAATACAGGAATATAAATTATTATTTAAAATGTTGTGATATGGTAGCCCATAATTTCTAAATTTTACTTAGTTACGCCACAATCTAATTGGATCACTTAATTACATTACACCTGGCATATATTGAGTTTTCATCACTAAGAAATTTAAAAAACAAAAAACAGATAGATATGTGAACCTATTTTATTTTCAACTTCCCCTTCAACTACTTAATTATAAATCCCCTTACAAATGAGTCATTTAATGGAACATTTGAATATGGAAAATCATTTTTAAAGTCCATTTTTACATTTGTTACACTAGTTCCTAGAAATACACAGAAAATATGCTCTGGTAGACATTTTATTATTAACTCAATAAAATCCCATTTTAACACCTTTTAAAGTCTTTCATGATTATTCTCAGAAACATCCTCTCATAATAAATGATATTTGAATGAAGATCTAAGATTCAGTTCCTAAACACACATATTTCCCATTACAGTTATACAATTAGTGAAGATTTCTTTGAGGTTTTTACTTTTTTTACAAAACCAGGGCTGGGGGCATGACTCAAGTGGTAGAATACCTGTCTAGCAAACACAGGGTCCTAAGTTCAAACCCCATAACTGTGAAAAAAATAAAACTTCATAATGAAGCTTAAAAGCTCAAATCCCAAAATATGAAATTCAAGTATTACCTCATGCATAGTCAGTAGATAATTAAGAATGGCCTGCAGTTCATCTTCCTTTACTCCAGAATCCTTTAGAGACATAATACAAGTATCTTATGCTTACACATGAAAAACATCTTTAAAAAGAAAACCATATACATACATTTGTCAAGTTGGTCAGCTGTTTTTAATCTAAATAAAGAATGTAATATAGAATCTAAATTTAAAGGAAAAATTTGAGGAAGCACTAAAGACAGTCTGTAAGACTGTACAAAAATGAAGAGACTTGGTATCAGTACCTGTTCTCAACATCTTACATGAGTATCTATTTGGTAAAGCTACAGAATCCTGAAGTACCAAAAATAATAAATTATGATAAATGAAAGTATAATTCCATATGTCTACTCCTCTACAGAAGGTAACTTTTTCACTTAAAGTTAAATTTGGAGAATAAAATGAACAATTTTACTGCATGACAAAATGTCAAGTACCTAAAAGATGAATAGTAAGTTCACCAGAAAAAAAATTGTACTTTTTAAAATGAGCTCAGAAACTAGATTTATCTATATCAATTTTAACTCAAAATGGATCAAGGATCTTAATATCAGACCACAAACTCTAAAGTTGGTACAGGAAAGAGTAGGAAATACTCTGGAATTAATAGGTATAG